TGCGTGTGAGGATCATAATTGGGGCCACCACAGAACTGAAATTCTTAATGAACCTCCTATAGAAATGAGCGAATCCAAGAAACCATTGAATTTGTTTCAAATTCTACGGAGTAGGCCAATCAGTAATAGAAGACATTTTGCTTGAATCCATCTTTACCCCTTGAGGAGAAAGAATATATCCCAAAAATTGAATCCGAGAGACGTGAAAAGTGCACTGCTCTTTCTTAGAGTAGAGTTTGTGATGGATTAAACACGACAGAACTTCCCTGACATTGCAGATATGTTCCTGTAGGGTGTTAGAATATTGTAACGCTTACGGCCGACAAGCACTGTGTGTAAGAGCCGGCGTACCAGAGCGGTTGACGTCACTGCCCTTCCCTGTGATAGCAGGACCACAGCTACTGGGCTGGGGAGAGATCTCTCTTTAGCTCACGGGGCTAGGTCGCTGCAGAGAGACGCGGAAGTCCCGGGTTCGAGCCTCCAGTCGGGATGGGGCCGACCAGATGCGGCAAGGGCGCCCGCCTGAGCCCCCGTTGCGTTACAATATCATGTAAGTAAACAAGAAGGCACTTCTGAATAAGATCACTGAAGAGGTAATTCATAAAGGATTGAAAGACAGTTGGTGCATTGGCGAGACCAAACGGCATGACACAGTATTCATAATGGCCTTGGGCAGTCAAAAAGGCCATTTTCCAGTCATCCCCGTCCCAAATTCTAATCAGGTTATAGGCACCCCTGAGATCAAGTTTAGTGAAGATTGTAGCTCCACAGATTCCAAGGCTGAAGGGTTAAGAGAAAGGGGATAACGGTTCTTGATAGTGATAGCATTGAAGCTACAGTAATCGATACAAGGGGAAAAGCTTCCATCTTTTTTCTCTACGAAAATGAAAAAATGTTTAAAAATGGAGACCAATGCCTCATCATTCCAGAATAATTCTGCAGCGATAACACAGAATTCCACTGCGTATTCTGCAACAGATCTCCCATCATGCTTTGGTAAGGTAAGTCTGGAAGAGGTGTCCAACTCCATAGAAGAGTGATGAAAAAAACGTTCTTAGGCTCTCCTGAAAATGATCAATATCTGAGATTTCAGATGCCTGTCATTCAAGGAGGGCAGTAGCCCATTCAAGAGCTTTTCCAGTTAAAATAGAAATTAAAAATGCCACCTTCTCTTTGGAGGAGGAAAACGTTTCAGGATGCAATTGAAAAATCATTGAGTACTTAGCCAAAAAAAAAACCGACATTTGTCAGGCTGCCTGGCAAACCACTCAGGAGGAATAAAAGGTAAGGCATGAAGAGCAGGAGAGGTAGCATTGGGGGTGGGTTGGACAGCAGTAATCTCAGGTGAAACTGCTGCATCTACTCTGCTGGCGCTACGCCAGGCACTGCCTGTGCTGTCAAGTCAGCTAAATGTGCAGTTATCTGCTGGATAGAAACTTGCAGAAGAATAAGCGCATGAGAATGTTGAGAAAGCACTGCACAAATTTCCTTACCTTCTGCTTGGTCCATGTTAAGGCTCAGAATTCTGTTACGGTGCGGAAGAAGGACCCTAAGCAGAATCCTCTGAACTCAAAAGTACCAGCAGGAGTTTATCCGAAAACGTGGGTCAAAAACCAGTAAATCCACAATAACCAAGTCAAGATCCAGAAGACAAAGTCAAAGAAAATGCCAGGGGTCAGAGTCAAAAACCTAGAAATCTTGTGAAACAGGGAACAATGCAGTTTTAGCTAGGTAAAACCCAATACTGAGCAAGGAGTGGTGTGTCAGGTTGGTTTAAGTAGAGAGGTTGAAGGTGTGTCTGATTAGTTAATTTGAAACTGTATTGGATTGTGAAGGAGTTGATTAAGGGCGTTGAGTTCTCTGGGGGTGTGACGTAACATTACTCCCCTGCCCATGGGCAGCTCCTGCAGCTCCTTTGACGGATGGTTGGGAAAATCATGATGGAAATCTTTGATTAATTTAGAGTCTAAAAATATCCTTTTCTGCGACCTAAGGCCGCTCCCCAGATCTTCTTCAGCCTTCTACACCTGAAGGTGGTTCCACAACCGAAATGTTGTGTTTATTTTCATTCCAGCACGGAATAAACCATTATTTGTTCCTTTGTAGCATATGCATGCTGATGCAGCTACCTATTTGAACTTCTGTTTGTACACAATTTGTCTTAGTTCATTCTGGCTACAGCTTTAGTCAGAATATGCTAGGATATTTTGGATGTTACACAAAAGATGAGGCAAAAATAACAGTAGGTCAGACGGAATTCATAATTAATAATAATTCCTTATACATATATAGCACTTTTTTGGACACTCCGCTCAAAGTACTTTACAAATAGTGAGGACTGTCATGTTAAGGATACTTTTACAAAGGACAAACTCACCTCTCTTACATTCCCACATGCAAAGACCACTTGGTCTTTCTGTGGAGGTGATCACAAAAATGAGGCCTCTAGCTATATTTTTATGCATATAGAGGGGCGCCAGGCTACTTGGTCATGGCACATAAAGATTATTAAAATTTTTTAATAACACTTCATTCTTAAAATAATAAGTCTTGTTGCTACACTATGGAAAATAAAAATGCTGAAGACTTAAGGTGAATGGAAACCAAATTAAGATGAGTACAAATAAAATTAATAAAGTGAAATATTCAAAATCCAAAATCAGCAATAGGAGAAGGACATTTTTTAAAGATTAAAAGGATCGTGATGGCACTGTATACAGTATATGGGAATATACATCAGTATATTTGGTATGTGATTACAAATCATATCATTATTATATGAGAAGAATGTCTAAGATCATATAATACAGTATATGACCAAAAAGATCAAGTGCATAAATTAATGCAGGCAAATTTCAAATTCACAGCCATTACCAGAAACCAAAATACAGGAACATTCAAATCTCTTAACCAGTTAAGCAGACAGAAATATGAATATGATTATTTTTGCATCTGATCATACAAGCTTAGTGGAGATTATCTTTTTTCTTTAATTTAGTGACTGTTATAAGTCTCTCTAAATAATGGCATATGGAGATGTTAGCAATAATGATAATAATAGAATACTTTTAATTCTACACCTAATAATTGTAACATGTAACAATTTTGAATGCTGCTGTGAAAGACCCAGGAGGAACATGAAACACTACACTCAGATTCCACAAAAAGAAGCTACATTCTTTCTGTATCATTTTTCTGAATCATGGTTATACGGTATGTGCAAAGATAATTATATAATTTTATAATTTTCAGATTTTTCTAATTTTTACCATACAGAAATTCTTCTAATCTTCTAATTCTCTCTTCTAATCTATTGTGTAAATTCCACAAAACCCTCTAAAAACCAGTGTGACCCTCATAAAACTGCCCAAATACTCTTAATTTAACACTGTTTTCCTCTTCATAATAACGGCAACATGTCACTTTAACAAGTATAGATGCTTCTGTAAAAGGCCCAGCAGGCACTTCAAACATTGTTCTGAGAATCTACAAAATTAGAAATTTGTGAGATGTGTTTAACAATGTGGTTTGATTAAAAAATGTGAGAAGTATACATCATTTATGAGATGGTCACTCCACACTGTACACCACCGAATTTAACCAACACAACAGACTGGTAGATTAATTGGCTTCTGGAAAATTGGCCCTGGTGTGAGTATATGTTTGTGTGTGCCCTGCAATACACTGGTGCCCAATTGAGGGTGTATCTACTGTATAGTGACACTTCTTGCTTGCCTGGATAGGGTCCGGCTCCTCTGCAATCCTGAATGGCAGTTCTCTCTCATTAAACATACAGTATGGGCATCAATTATTTTATCACTTCTGATATTCTGTTACCTCACTGCATTCATCTGGAGACAAGAATATCTTTCTGAACCATTCATGACAACCATGACAGAAAAGCAAGTACTATTCAAAATATAATTTAGTCATTAGAGAATGATGCATTCAGATTTCATGTGACCTTTCAGTATGATATTTTCAAAGGTATATTTATATTCATGTATACTACAGCATGAATCAAACGTTCAACCTATGCTGGAATTAAGGTTTAGCAAGCTCAATAAACATGTCCATCTAGTCTTAATGTTGCTTGACTATATTAATATACTTCTCAGTAAAAATTCTTTAAAAATTCTAAATTAAAAATGAAATTGAAGTCCAAGGCACTTTCAGGTTGCAAAAACAAAAACAGGCTTGAAGCATTCCCTGAGTGTTCCCTGATTGGTTAAGTCTCTTCGTGAGATAAGACAATTATTTTTGCAAAAGCAGTTACAGTACATGCTGAAAGACATGCTGAAATGCTGGAATTTCGTGTTCCCTGGAGTTTTATACAATTTCTATCTTAATTTTCCTTTCTTTCTTAGCCTTATGCTGATTCTTCAGAGACGATTGGAAGAATTCACGTTTCTCATACTCTTCACAATCTGACATCGTGCACCAACTGAACAGACTCTGAAACCATTAATAAACTGTGGACATATACTGTCCGTACAGAGTTGTACTGCATAATGTCATCTGAGTTGTTGATATACTGTCATCACAGAGTACAATGGCTCACTGCTCCAGACCTCCTGGATTGTGTAGTTAAGTGGATTGAGAGCATGAGAATTTACCCTTCTCTGAATGGGACATGAAACCATCACAGGGTCCCCAGCAATGCTGGTCCCCATTTATACAGCTGGGTGGACTGGAGCTTTTTTTATCTTTCTCAATATACCTGTAAAACAACAGGACCGAAGTCCACAGCCCAGGTTTTCCTTCCTTACTTAGTAGACAAAAGGTAAACAAGTAATCATATGTCTCAAGAGACAGAAATTCTTAGGCTTTATGTGAATCTGTAATTGTTTTCTCACAAACTCAGATAACAATACTCACACTGAGATGGTTGTAAGATCTATGTGTAGCTTTTGAAGTTAGTGTAAATTCCTTTACTTCAGATGAAAAGACAGAAGGAGATACAGGAAATAATATAACATCACTTTATTAGCTATATACAATTTCTTGCATTAGGAATTTGTCTTTTCACATACCCCAGCTTGCTCTTCATGAGACACACAGGGAGAGCACAGGGTCAACCATCATACAGCACCACTGGAGCAGTTGGGATTAAGGGCCTTGCTCAGGGGCCTAACAGAGTAGGATTCCTTTGCTATCTACAGGATTTGAACCAGCAACCTTTCAGCTACAGGCACAGATCCTTAGCCGCAGTGCCACCACTCCGCCCCTCTGCATGTGAAGCCCATGAAAAATCAGCTACAGCATAGCTTTCTGTTTTGGAATGTGATTTTTAAAGTGGAACTAGACTAGTACACTAAAAAACTGGAATCATGCAAGTAAATCTCAGCATACAAACAGAAGACAGTATTGCCTTATATCCCAATGTGATTGCAATGGTTACTTTGTTCTGTAACATGGAACTACTCTGGATATTCACTTTTATCACACTTCAGATGCCAGCCAAAATGCCAGACCAGTTCTAGTCTCACACTGGGCTGTTTCTGGTCATCTCACAGCATGAGATCAATTGAAGTGATGGTACAAGCTAGAAACTCTTTTATAACTGAGATTTTCAACACAGTGAACTAAAACATGTTTGTGATAGTTAATTTGTCTTGAATCATAGCTCTATAAACAATAACTACGTCTGACTTAGTAACTAAGAAACAGGATCACAGAATGAATGACAAACACTATAATTTTTAAAGCTACCCCTGAAATACAAATACAATTACATCACAACTGAAAATTATTCTGCATTATCTCACCACAGTGAACAGCTAGCATTCATTTAATAATATCATACAATGAAGAAAGAACAGTTTCTAAAGTCACTTCCAATTATCAGTCCTGCTGTATTTGAATTCCTCTTCTTCCCCTGTTCTGGTGGGGCTAACACATTGTGTTATGGATCATTGTTACAGATACATTCACTGGGCAAATTCGCAGAGGAACTGTACAAAAGCCAGGAAAGAAAATTGGAAACAGCTTCTCAGTAAATGTGTCTTTAAAGTTGTAAATGGGTGTCCCATCACTTGGGTCAGAGAATAACACCTCCCCCCTGTCATAGTCCAGCTGCACTCTAATCTTCTGGGGCTTTCTCTTCAGAGTAAGCAGTGTCCCTGGTGAGGTCAGTGCACTGTAAACACCTCCACACTGCCAGAGAACTAAAAGTCCTCCCTTTGGGTTCAGAATTATTGATCCTTTCCTTTTGATGGATTCTTTGGCCAAACCCAAGTACCAAAAGGTGCTGTCTCCCACCTCCACGTCCCAGCAGTGTTTCCCTGAAGTAAATCCCTCAGATCCCAGCACATAGTAACAGAGATCAAACCTCTCTGGGTTGTCAGGAAGCTGCTGTTCCTCATCATTGTATCTCACAATGGTTAGATCCTCAGACAGTGAGAGGTTGGGTGATGCTGTATTGGGGTCCAGAGTCACAGGAGCTGATAGAGAATAAAAATAATAATGGAAAATCACCCTGTCCTAATGCATTTTTTTCTAAATAAACATTTGAATTATTTTTTTATTGAAACAAATGGCATACAGTGATATAAAGGTCATATACAGTGCATTTATAAAAAACTGTGCTGAAGTCACCAATGGGTGTAACAAATAACAACATCATTATAACTCAACGTCAATCTAAAAGGAATCAAAAGTTACAGGAAGTCTGAGGAATCACAGACTACAACTGGGAAAAGTAAGACACCATTGATGACATCTAAATTATTTAATTGTTTCAGAATAATGGAAAACAATAAGATATTAACACAAAATAACAAAATATATATTAATAATGGCTTGGAATTTTTTGAGCACATTTCTTTTAGAGCCAGTTGGAGGACAACAGCTAAATAGACACTACAGACACACTGTCAGGACAGGATCACCAGGACAAACTGGCCGTGTTCTGTGGAGCAAACTGGAGGAGATCAGTCACTTCGCTCCAGGGCTCTTACACAGACAGTCACACTCTCACTCCTTCTATCTGATTGACTCCACAATTCTCAGTGTTCCTTCTGTACTGTGAAAACCTGTAAATCCCTCTCTCCATGTGATCGTTTCCGCTAGTACTCACTGTACTGAACAATCCTCAGCATCTCCTCCCAGACTCTGTACTTCAGAGAGCCCAGGTGCTTGGCAACATCAATCAGTGCTCCTGAAACCCCCTCTGGATCCTGCAGTGTGTGCTGAGCTCTGCAATAATATTCAGGAGTCAATGCTGTTGTAGGTTAGGACTCAGTAAAATAGAAGAGAGTAAGACAGACTGGAGTGCACATACTGTACTGTACCTGATCTTTGTCTCCTTGTAGTCCTGAAAAACAACAACAGGACCAGTTACTAATTATTACCAAATACAGACTCTCAAACAGTACCTTTTAGAACCTTTTACATAGGTAACATAGTAACAGTAACATAGTTTTACTTATTTTCTGATTAAATAGTGACCATGATATTAGAGATAACACTAAAACACAGATTAGTAAGTATGGATGCATGAAGTGTATTTTAAAGATGAAAAAAAATGTGTGTACAACAAAGAGTATGTAATTGGATTCCTACATTTAAAACAATATATTCACACTATAACCAGAACCTGAAACATTATATCATATATATAAACTTAATTATAGCTATTATTTAATTATTTTATTTTATATTGATATTTATTTCAGGCACTGTAATATAAAACATTCTAGAATTCTAAATACTACTGTATATATTAATATATTTTTATTGTAAATTCTAAATGTATCTGTGCCATTGAAGAGACACTGTTGTATAGTAAGCAGTCAGTAGTGCTGCCAATTCTGGCCAATTGATTGCAGTTCAAGAGATGATTATGATGTTGTATCTCTAATGAAAGTGAGGTTTATTTGAGTCTCAGATTTTCAACCAGACTGAAATCAGCCCTGTCTGGGAGGGGACTCATCATTCCAAAAGACTCCTGGAGACTTCAGAAGAATCCCTAGTTCTCAGTATGAGACTCACAACAGACCTGATGTCTTAATGTGACCACACAGTGCAGAGTGTGTACATAATTTTTCATTTATGTCAAGCTATAGTCAGGGATTGTTGTCACAGAGAGTCATCTCTACCCGCAGGAAGAAAATGTCGTCAGCTCTCATCTCCTGGTCTATGGCTCTGATGGTCTCTGAAAGGGATGAAATCTCTATTGTAAGGCTCTCAAACTTTTCTTTCATCATCTGACTCTTCTGCTTTTCTTCCTCCTTCAGTGCAGCTATCCTGGCTTCCTCTTTATCTCGTAGAAACTGGTGAAGTTTTTCAAACTCCTCCTTAATTTGCCTCTCGGTCTGTTGGGTCTGTGTCTGGAATAGAAAGTGTTGATTGATGGTTGAGATCTATTACTCTATATTTGGGAGGTTTTTGTTGGAGTTGACTATCCAACCAAAAGGTTGTTGTTATCAATTTAAGCAAATGGCAATTACAAACATGATTAAGCAGTATCATCATTAATTACATTTTAATATTTATTTTATTCCAGCAACTGCAGGCATCTTATAGAACACACTTATTATTGCATTTTTTTAAATTAATTATTTTCTTTGCTTTCTTAGATACATTTTGAGATATTAGTCATCTTACCCTTTATCCAGAAATGTTAATAAAATAATCTGAACATTTTTACTTCTGTTTCTGGAACTACTCTGATATTTGCAAAGCACAATTACCTTAATGTACTCTGCAGTTTGGTCACATGTCTGTTTAACTTTATCAATCTCTTCAAGTTTCTTCTTCATTGGCTCCAATGCAGCCTTGAGGTCATCCTGGAAAGAGATGATAATTTACTGCAGAAACAGACTGAGCAGACATTACTGCCAGCACAGATGAGAGATTTCCCATCAATGGAGGAGTCTCACCACAGAGACAGTCTCTCTAGTACAGTTTCTACAGCACCTCCAGTCCACTCCATTTAGTGTATCAGTTCAGTGTTCAATGAACATAAAATCAAGTTTCTCCTTTTTCATTTGTAAACTAAAGCCTTACTTTATGTCCTGCAATATACTCAGTAAAAGGCTTTGGATATTATGTTGAAGGTAATTATTTATCAGAATTGAAAGCTTTGACAGAATAAGAACTGATGTTAAAGAAGAAAATACAACACTGTTTTTCAGTGCTTTCTCTTAGAGCCTGCATCCGTATTAATTTCAAAAGACTAAAACTTAAAAATATACATTAAAAAATCTTAAATCATGGAATCTGTGCACAAACACAATGGAAAAGTATCCTATTGTTTAGCCCTCATCTCATTTCTGGGCATGATTCTCCTTGACATCAGACCTTTGAAGCAGGAGCTAGAGGACTAGAGGATTCCGACGTATGTCAAACTGAGCCATCTGTCCCCTTAATTCCAGAATCAAAAACACAACCCCTTTTCACTGCCATTCCATTGAATCTGCATCTGCATCAATACCTTAATGAGATTATACTAACGTAAATTTAATCTTTAATACAGGCTTCCCTGTATCTTTCAATGATTTACCTTCTTAGCCCTGGTTTTCCTAAAGTTTTAATATTTTTTAAACAAACTTTGTTGCAGTAGATGAGGATTTCTAATTTCTGATGCTAATTTATACAGATTTACTCATTTATGTACAGTTTATTGTTCCTTCTCGGCCCTGAGATGAGCAGCATGAATGTGTAGCTATTAAAACATTTGTCTGAAATTCAAAGTCCTGAGTTTAATCCTTTACTTAGCATCATCTATGGAGAGTGCTCTGGTTTCCATCCACAGTACAAAGACATGGTGGATGTGTTAATTAAAGACATTTGCTGAGGTTCCCTCCCAGGTGTTTTACTGCCTTATTCTACAGACATCTGGAATGTACTGTACAGTACTTCAGGTCACCTAGACTCTTATCATGAATAAGTGGCCTTCTGATAATACTGTAGCTAAATCCAACTTTAGCTACATAATGAAAAATACATAATGTATTTAGCTACATAATAACATAATGAATGTTAGAGAAAATTGAAATGATCTTAATTCAGTTTTAAATACTATAATTTAAAACGGGTAATTGTTTTAACTTCAAGTCAACTTCTGTCCTTCTGAACAGTCCTTACTGATGTGATCAGTCTCAGTTACCAGGAGTCTGCACTTTATTTGATTGTTCCCCTGCAGGATTAACAGTGCAGTGATGTGTGAGGACCAGAACTGAGAATCCTGCACTACATTGTTAGAATACTGTGACATTGTTAAAGTCTTTTGTTCAGACTAATGAATCATGACCTCTTCTTCTAAAATTAATTTGCATTAGTCAGGAAAGTTCAGGAGGAATAACAGCAGCTAAGTTCAATCAGACTCACTCCTGATGTCATTTCCTCTCTTAAAATACTATTAATACTGTACGTGATCCCTTTCTCTCCCTCATGTACATCTTTCACATGGACCATATTTTGACAGTCTCTCTGACTCCCCTTTTCAATGTACAGTATACTCCAATTTGATCTCAGCCAGGAAATGCAGCTCCTCACATTCTCCACGTACCAGTGAGTCTTTCATCGGCTGCTTTGCTGTTTCAGTTACTTGCTTTTCAACCTCAGCCAGCCTCATCTATGGCTCTTTTCAAGGTTTCAAGCCTTTCCGAAGACTGAGATCTGCCGTTCTCATCCCATTATTTCTGTTATTTCTCCTTTTAAAAAATCTGAACAATGCAAACTCGCTGTCATGTTTTCAAATTGTGTCCCGTCCTTTTGAAATCTTTTCCTCCATTATCATCTGGACAGTAACACAATGTCACCAACCTCTCCATTAACACAAGTTCCATTCACAATGTGCATCTAGGAGAAATGCTGTCACACAGCACACGGCAGGGCAGAACATCTGAGATTGTGTCACTGCAAACCCAGAACCATTGTTCTGCATTCTTCCTCTCTGTTTCTTATTTCAGCATTCTGTTTTCCTTGATTCTACTTCTTTATTATCCAGTCTAAACTCGCTCCTCTGAATCTGAAGCCCAATGCTGCACTCTTTCCTCCATGTTCTTTATTCTTGAGTGTTCTTTTGTGCTCTCTTCTGCTTCCATTACATGGCATCCAATTTGGCACTCTCTCCCTCTTTGCCCCTGCTGCTACTGATGCCATCTCCAAGGCCCCTGGTCTGGCATGCTTCTTCTCGTATACCTGATGTTCTGTGTCAGCACGCATAAGGAAGGCTCTACAGTCTTGTCTCTTTTCTTTTCAGCATGGAATAAATAAACAGCTTATCAATACATCCCTATATCATTAAGCAACTCCATTAGGTCATTGGAAGCCTTCCTCCCTTAAATACAGTAAACCTGCTGTATACAGATAACATTCAACAAGCAATCCCCCAAGTTTCTATCCAACTGATGCAACAATCCACAGTTCAAAGCATGCATCACACAACACTTCTGTCACACTCTCCATGCTTTCCATAATTCTGCATTTGGAGGTTTGGGGTCCTACTTGGTACTTTTGCCAGCAGCCATATCACCCTGCAACTCACAACTGGCAACCCACTGAAGCTAAGCAGGTGTGAGCCTGGCCCAAATTTCCCATTGGCCCTTACCAATCATGGCCTCCTAATAATGGTGTGAGATGGGAGACCTTCTGGGAAAAACTAAGGTTGCTGCTGGAAGAGGTGTTAGTGGGGCCAGCAGGGGGTGCTCACCCTGTGGTCCACGTGGGTCCTAATGCCCCAGTATAGTGATGGGGACACTATACTGTAAACAGGTGCCGTCATTCGGATGAGACGTAAAACCAAGGTCCTGACTCTCTGTGGTCATTAAAAATCCCAGGGCGTTTCTCGAAAAGAGTAGTGGTGTAACCCCGGTGTTCTGGCCAAATTTCCCATTGGCCCTTACCAATCATGGCCTCCTAATAATCCCCATCTATGAACTGGCTTCATTAATCTCTGCTCTCCTCCCAAATAATAGCTGATGTGTGGTGAGCGTTCTGGCGCACTATGGCTGCTGTTGCATCATCCAGGTGGATGCTCATTGGTGGTGGTGGAGGGGAGACCCCATTACCTGTAAAGCGCTTTGAGTGGAGTGTCCAGAAAAGCGCTATATAAGTGTAAGCAATTATTATTATTATTACTTTTGGGGGTCCTGGCTTCCTCATCCTATGGCCAGAATGTTGGTGCTCAGCCAAGTGAGTTAAGCCAAATTTTCTTATTTTTCCCTTGTTCTGGTTTAATTTTCTGCCTGCCTGTTCTGATCTGCACTCTGATTTCCCAGTAGTAGCCTCAGCAGCCTCTCCAGGTGGTCATCTCAACCTGGATCCTGAAGCCTGTCTGCATTCCTGTCTGTGGTTCTCGACGCCAGGATACCACTCCAGAGTTGAATACCCTGTTCTAACCTGGAAGCCAGGCTTGGGATTCTGCTTGATAGCCAAAGCTTCTCAAATCTGTGACGGGCTGTTTCGCCAGGGTAGAGAACCCCGGGCTATACGCTGACCACCTGCTTCTTGTTGCTGGGGCAGTCTGATCACAGTCTGCTAAGATTACTGCAGTCTGCTCTCACCCGGCTCCAGTATACGCCGGTCTGCTTGTACCCTGCCCTGGATCATGGCTGCCTGCTTGCACTAGCTCCAGACATCTGCTACCTCATTGGACCCTGTACTCCAGATTCCCACAGCCTACCCAGACCCTGTTCTCCTGATACCCATGGCCTGCTCTGGCCTCTTTTCCTGATCACTGCAACCTTGCGAATTGAACTATACAGAGGTTCTGTCTGTGGAGTTCCCTGACCTCCTTGCCCGCAGCCCAGTTCTGATTCCTGGTTTGCCCTGTCCCTTTCCACCTTTTCTGTTCCGTCATTTTCTGGCTCTTCTTTGGGGGAGCTTCATTCCTTGGTTCAGGGGTCTTTCCCTTTGCTCACATTCCTGTGAGCCTTCAGCAGAGCCTTCTGTTCAGTCCTGGGGAAACAGGCATCTTGTGTCTGCTCTGTCTGGGAGCATTCCCCTGTTAGCCTGGTCTCCCTAAGGATTCTTGTTTCCAGGAATCTTACTGGGAGCGCTCATGGTGGCTTTGCTGACTCAGGGCTCTCAGAGCTGAGAGGGACATTAGGATGGGCCCTTGCCTCCGGTCCTTGCAGATGTCTTCCCCGGTGAATCCAAGTACCTGATCCTATTCACACCTGGGCACCTCTGTCAGAGAGAGCACCACAGCGCACACCTGGCCTGGTTTCGGAGAAGACCCTCATTAAGGGCGTACGCCTTCAGTCATTCAGTCATGACTTGACCACTGTGTAGATGTTCCCTGCCTTGCCTACCCATGAGATCCCTCTTCTAAGTGAAGGCCCTGGGAGTAGTGCAGCTACACTCTGAGAAGACTTCTTTTCTGTCTCATGTCGGCCAGGGAGTTTGCTGGCCTGCTCCCCTGGCTACCTGGAGGACTGCCTCCCAGACCCGTGTGCCTCCTTTCCCACTGGGGCTCGGTACTTGGTAGCTGGTCCCGTCCCAGAGCTGAGGGTCCCAGATTCCAGTCGGCGGGCTGGGCTGAGCAGTCTTTGTAGGACCTGGCACTTCGCTGTGTCAGTCTGTCTCTGACACTCTGGAGGTCTGAGAAACATGTGAGTACTAAAAGGGTAATGAACAATAAAAATAAAACTGCAACTCCTTGTGAAACTGGATTTTTTCAATGTGATAAAAAAATGTTGCTTCAGACTGAAAAAACAAAGTTTAAATAAAGTCAGTTCCCATTGTTTTCTATGATAGGCTTTTGTACATAATCAGTAATTCAGAATCTCTGCTCATTAATGATTATCAAATATACTTACTAACTGAATATATTCAAAACAAAACCTGCTAAGAACATTGGCATAACTGTAATTTCCTTTTGAAAATAAAATCTAAAATTTTACTTTGAAAGTGTTTTTTTAGATACAATGTTTTCTCACCTTACGATCCACCACAGCTTCTTCCACAGGACAGAACTCATGGTTTTTGTGTTTTCCTGAGGTCTGACAAACCAGGCAGACAGGCTCTTCATCAGTCATACAGAAGAGCTTGAGTTTCTCCCTGTGCAGACTGCAGAGCTCTTCAGACCCTGCTGGAGGTCTCTGACTCCGTTCCCGTAAGAACTTCTCACACACATTCTTTAGAGCCAAGTTGTAAGGAGGCAGATCCCTTGAAGATCTTCTCCTGCAGGCTGGACATTCCTGAGAGCCCTTCTGTTTCCAGTGCTGCTCCAGACAGACTTTACAGAAGCTGTGGCTGCATGTCAGGAGAACAGGATCCTTGAAGATATCATAACACATGGAACAGGAGAGATCCTCTTCCAGGCCAGAAGATCTTGCTGCCATTTCTTTGATAGACCTACAGCAAAATCTGACATTTATTTTATTCAATCTGCCTTTCTAAATACATTTAGATCCATTACATTTTCTCTGGTTATAAGACCTGTTAATATACTTCATGTGAAAAGACTGCTGTCCCTGGCTCTAGTAACAATTTCCACAAAAAAACACAATAAATAAAAATACTAAAACCTTGATCTTGCTGCAATATTCTTATCACCTGACTCTCACATCTTCTCATGAAGGAATGATCCAGTCTGACAACATTTCTACATTTTTCTAAACAAATGTTTCTTGGTAGTTTTAAACATGTGCTCATTGCTGCTCTGCAGTGATTGGATGAGTCAGAAAGTGCAAATGACCTAGAAGGTTCACATTCTAATCATTCATTTAGTGTCTTTTCAAACTATAAGTTCTGCTGCCATGAAGATGTAGAAGAGAGTAAACCTTCACTTTGATAGACTTTGGATTCAACAGCTAAAATCTGGTAAAGGAGAATCTTGTCTGTAAAATCAGAAATACCACACTTTTCCAAGAAGTAATGATAAAATGCAGTGTGGCATTACTCTGGGGTGCGCCCAGTTTGGAAGCAGAGCCCTGGTGGAAGGGCGACGCCTCACCTTTGTAGTCACAGCTGTGTCACGATCGCTAGTCCTCCTCTTAAGGGTGCTCCAGCCCTTCCTCGTTCTTTCCCATTACCTGCACCTGTTCCCTATTTCCATTCCCCCTTAAAAGCCAGACGCAGATGTCACCCAAGGTTCCTCATTGAATCCCGTTTCGTGAGAACCCGGGGTCCTGCTGTGTCTGGCTCGGTTATGGTTTTAACCTTCTGTTCCTGATTCCCTGCCCCGCCGGTCCCGACCCGGTTCATGCTTTTATTCCCTGGATGAAAGCATGAACCCGGCTCATGGTTTTATTCCCTGGATGGATCTCCTGGCTTTGGACTCTACTCTTCAGTTTTGGATTCTCCGTTTGGACTTTGTCTTTGTTTGTTCACCCTGGACTCACTTCCCCAGGACACCTGCTCACCTTGGAAACGCCCCCCTGCATCCAGACCCTCTCCTGCATGACTTTTTCCCCAGTGTATCTTCACTATTCCGGATAGTGTTGTCTGCATAGGGCCAGAAAGAACTGTTTCATGACAGTATGAGGAACCAACACCTGGGCCCCGCGGATGGCACATTGGTACCTGGATCACTGTGGAGCCAGGTGAGAGTTGCATGGGGAGAGCCTTGAGGACCTTGATGGCAGAAGCTTTCTCCTGGATGTGGGATAGGGAGACCAACAGAAACTCCAGGGTTCCCAGGGCTGAAGTCAAACGTCTGTGTGCAATCTGGTTCAGAGGCTGTGGAGTACACTGAAGTCCTGGAGTGGAGTGAAGTAGAATGAGAACAGGGCTGCAGTGTACAGTGAAATATTGGAGTGGAGTAAATGATCAGGAACAAGGATGCAGGGCAGCACGGGAAGAGCCCGGGGGTCCTGGACAACAGAAGCTGCCTCCTGAATGTGGACAGAACCACGGGGATGAGAGGGCAGCTGAGGTAAAGTCCAGGGAATCCAGGGCGGAGGTCTAGGGTTGGCGTGCAGTCAGGAACTGGAACAGTGGTTGCAGTGCTGAGAGATGTCCTGGAACCAGACTGGATTGGAGTCTGAGCAGACTTTCTCAGTGGCGAGAAATGGGTAGCCAGCATCCAGCCTGGGGATCTCTACCCTGGCGAATCAGCCTGTCAATGGAATTGGGCAGCATCGGCTATGGAGTGGAATCCTGTGCCAAGCTCCCAGGGAAAAATGGAGGATGCGCGGGTATCTTGGTCTTGGAAGGGAATCCAGTTTCTTAGGCCTGAGGGAGAACAGGATTTCAACTTAGGAGGAGAATCCTGGCACTGAGAACCAGAGACAGGAGTGCAGATGGGCTTCAGGATCCTGGGTGAGACTACGAGCTGGAGAGACTTCTGAGGCATCTGCCGGGGGAACTGGACATCAGGCGAGAACAGACAAGACGGTGGAAAAATAATAATGAAATGGAAATTAAAGTGCAGACATGAAAATTGAAAAGGGATGAAAAGAGCAATGTTAGAGCATGTCGAAGGAGGGCTCCAGCTTTAAATAGAGAAACTGAGTAATTAGTAAGGAATTAAATAATTGGTAATTAAAGGCAGATCACCTGAAGGGAATCTGGTTTATGCGACAAGCCCTGGAGCACCGTGAGCCCTTGTGAGAATGTGACGGTTTCCAAGGGCAACCGCTAGTCAAGAGACGCCATATGGGTGCTATCATGACTTCCTGTTCATCACCATTAATGTTGTAAAGGTCACAGATTAAAACCGCACTGACAAATATCCATTATTTTTTTATCTGCCTGTATTGTTTTCTGCATTATCAGCATCCATTACACAGTATACAATTATTAATGTGGTGCTACTTTGATGCTACATTTTGCTCATAGGAAAGGGCTTCCTCCCCTTAAATACAAAATCTATTGGTCATTCATAAAAAGGACACAAATACAACTGAAGCATGTAAATACAGAGCTGTATCTTAATTCAATTAAATATTGTTGCGAATACAGGGTTGAGAAAATAGCAAATTACGAAAAGCAGACTGCACCCAATTATGAATTAGCAATTTAAATAAATTCCATTATTTGATTATTTGCTTACGGTGTGCAATATGAAAAATAATCTTTCATGAAGAATTCCAATGTCTGCTTAAAATCTAAAAAAGCCATATCACATGTTCTGTTTGTATCTAAAACTGTTATTGTTTCTTCAAAAAAACTGTAAGTCCCATTCAACTTATTTTGAATGTTTTCCTTCAACTTTTAAATGCTGTTTTATTCATTGCTGTACCTAAATTGAAAAAGTTTACAGATGAAAAGAGGCTGTGTGTCCTATATTACACTCATTGTGGATAACTACTTATTAAGACCTGGCACTGTAGAGGTGACTGGAGTTTTAGACTTAAGTCATTTTTTTTAAAAGATCAGACATTCTCTGTAAACATGTTAATTTTCCATAGCAAAATATTTTTGGTTAACAGATCCCCTGTTATAACACATAACACATAATTTTAAATGATAAATACATTCTAAAACCTGGTCTTTCATTTATTATACATGACAGCAGTACTAAAAAATAATGATTGGTCATCTTGATTTTATGTGTTTATTTGTAAAGCAGAGCTCTGACCGTCTTTTGCATTCTATTCTATTTAAATGTACAGGAGTGCTGGGTGTCCATAAAAAAATTCCCTCAGGGGACAATAAAAATCTTATCGTGCAATGTGGGGCAACTGTCATCTGAACACTGATACATTGGAGAACTTATCAGGAATACTGTAAATCATTAAGCCTTTTAGAGTATTTAGCCCTTTAATTTAAATTTACAATTATTTTCATATAACAGTTCAAAATAGAAAGTTTTTAGGAATCCTTTTTCTCTTCTATTCACCTGTCTTCAGTTCTCTTCTTTTTCTTCATACAGTATGTGATTCCATTCGTGTAAAGGTTTAGAGTCCATCAATCAGACCCTGACACAAGTCCAAGCATCATCACCTTGTAGCGTGATTTCATCTACATCTAGGTTTACATACAGTACTATTACTCACAGCACAACACAGTGCATATGCTGAAGGTCTATTTAGGAGAGTTTTTCACATCAGCCATGCTCTGGTCAACACACTGTGCTATTATCTAGCAAGTAATTTTTAAAGGTGACCTAAAATTCTAACACATTTAAATCAGTGTTGGCATTTATTCTACATTATTGCACTACAAAGAAGAAGGAACAATCTTAAAGCTACTGTACCTCTAATAACCAGTCCTGCCGTGTTTGAATTCTCCTCCTCCTGTCCTATTGGGGGCGGTGTTGCCCATTGCTCTGCTATTGGAGCCTGAGCAGCATCACACAGTGACACCACTAAAGCTTAAGGAGGATTTTTCACTCCAGCTCTGCTTTGATCTCCCTCAACATGCTGTGTTATTGCCCACAGTTACAGACACCTTTACTGGGCAGATTCTGAGAGTAACAGATTTTCACCCTCACAGTAAATGTGTGTTTAAAAGTATAGATATGTGTCCCATCGCTGGGCTCAAGGAATGACAGCTCCCCCATGTCATAGCGTACCTGCTCTCTTATTTTCTGGGGTCTCCTCTTCACAGTGAGCCATATTCCTGTTGAGAGCACAAATTCCTTACTCTTTCCTGTTGGTGAATTCTTTGGCCAAACCCAAGTACCAGAAGGTGTTGTTTCCCAATTCCACATCCCAGCAGTGTCTCCCTGAGGTGTCACGGGTGTCAGAAGGGACAAACCATGGAGAAGTAGGATAGCGAAAAAGACACTATGCGGGGCGGCGGAACGGGGAGCTAGCCCGGGCTCATCAGTGCAGAGTTCTGGAGTACCGTATAGAAACCTATGCCCTCTGGTAGCGGACATGGGGCGAGCTGGTGCTAGGCGGGTCTCAGGATATCCGAATGCCAATGCCGAGCGAGGCAGAATAAGTGACCCGGAAATATATAGCCCAAGGAAAGAGGGAAACCAGAAGGACAGCAAAGCAGGTGTAGCGGCGAGGCTTAATAATAAGAAAGAATTAAGTGTT